CCTCTGGAAATCAAGGTTAAAGCTCCCTGCTGCTGCCCTGGGGCTGAGGCTTCCGCAGGGCGGTTCACCCGCCTGCAACCAGAGGAGGAGGGAGGAAGTTGTTGAAGTTTCTCATAAAACTCTGAGTTTCCATGGTGGTGATGGTGGTGGTGGTTCTTTAATGAGCTGGACTCCAACCCCAGACCATATCCTTGTTATAGAACTTTCCCTCATCAAAGGAAACAGAGGACTCAGATTCACCTCCCTCCCCACCCCCCAGCCGAGCAAACCCTTGTCAAATAATTTTAGGCATTGTCCAAAACTATAAAATTCAAGTTCTGACAAAAGTATAGCTTTTTATATTTGACGATTTGTGTTAAAACAAAAATTGACCTTCTTGGTTGGTAGTGAAGGGGAAAAATCAATAGTATAATTTTCAATAATTCATAAAGCGAACGCCATTATGCTAAATCTTAACTATTAATCTTATCCTTTACAAAGTCTCGATTGATTTGTTAATAAAATATCTTCCCGTGTGTGGCAACAGCGGGTATAACTCTTTAAAAACCTTCAGAAGCAAGAAAATTACCAAGTAGCCCAAGAATGTAGATGAGAATTTTATTGATCGCCCTGATTCTTCTTAATATGTATTAATAAATTCCACAACCTTTTGTACCTTGCACTTGTCAGAAACCAATGCTTTTACAAAATCCATAAAAGGAAAACATATTTTTCTTCGCAGACGAACCAAATGACACCTTTGCATTTCTTTTGCTCCTTCTCGGCCCAGTTTTCCAAAACTTCTGGGGTCTGAGGGTCAGTTTCACCCTTACATTTTTCTCCTCTCACTCTTCCTTCCTCGCTGCCCCCCATTATCAGGGCGTGTAGGGAAGGAAACTTCGGTTTCGTTCTCCCGCTGAGAGCCCAAGAGACGCCTTAGTGGACAGGGAGCTGCCGGCGAAGGCTTTGCTGCCGGCTGAAATCTACCCGGCCCGCCGAGGTCAGGGTGTGGCTCCTGTGAGAACCCAGGGCTCCCGGAGGCTGGCGGGGCGCGGAGCGGGTCGGAGCCACGGCGGAAAGCCGAAGGAGAGGACGGCGCCGGGACTGGACCCCTCCTCGGGGCTCCAGGGCCGGCCAACTGCGTAGCCTCTCGGCACTCGCGGCCCTCTTCGCCTCCGCTCTCCAGGACACCTTGGCCGCGTCTTTGCGCCAGAGACTCTGTCTGTGAATCCTTGGGGTGGGGGAGCCTCAGGGACTCGAGAATCCTACTCACCTTCCCTGGCTTTCCTGGGACTAAAATGACCAGCCTGCGCCCCCACCCTCTCCCCGGGACCTGGTCCTCTCGGGCGCGTTCTGCCTGAGTGTGGGAAGGGGAATGCTTCTTGTGCCGGCGCCACAGCGCTCCGGCTTCCCTTCCCGCACGTGTCCTCCCGGAGGCCCCTCTGGCCAAGCCTTTCCTTCCGCCGGCGGGCCCGGCAGCCGGGACGTGGGACGCCAAGTCGGGCAGGCGGGCCGAGGGATCCCCGGGGAGGCGGGCGGGCCGGCGGCGGAGAGCTCTGGGCCGGCTGTCTCCTGCGCGCACTATCGCAGCCGCGTAGTAGATGTCGCTGTTGTCCGTGCTTACGCGGCTGGCCGGCCGAGCTCGGGAGCACGTGACCTGCAAGGAGGCTGCGGCTCAAGGCCATTTTCAAATCTCATTGGCTTGGTTGTCATGTGGTCGGCAGAGGCATCCACAATTACACGGGGAATGTTTTCCTAGAGATGTCAGCCTACAAAGGACACAATCTCTCTTCTTCAAATTCCTCCCCAAAATGTCCTTTCCCAACAGCTCTCCTGCTGCTAATACTTTTTTAGTAGATTCCTTGATCAGTGCCTGCAGGAGTGACAGTTTTTATTCGAGCAGCGCCAGCATGTACATGCCACCACCTAGCGCAGACATGGGGACCTATGGAATGCAAACCTGTGGACTGCTCCCGTCTCTGGCCAAAAGAGAAGTGAACCACCAAAATATGGGTATGAATGTGCATCCTTATATACCTCAAGTAGACAGTTGGACAGACCCGAACAGATCTTGTCGAATAGAGCAACCTGTTACACAGCAAGTCCCCACTTGCTCCTTCACCACCAACATTAAAGAAGAATCCAATTGCTGCATGTATTCTGATAAGCGCAACAAACTCATTTCTGCCGAGGTCCCTTCGTACCAGAGGCTGGTCCCCGAGTCCTGTCCCGTTGAGAACCCTGAGGTTCCTGTCCCTGGATATTTTAGACTGAGTCAGACCTACGCCACCGGGAAAACCCAAGAGTACAATAACAGCCCCGAAGGCAGCTCCACTGTCATGCTCCAGCTCAACCCTCGTGGCGCGGCCAAGCCGCAGCTCTCCGCCGCCCAGCTGCAGATGGAAAAGAAGATGAACGAGCCCGCGAGCGGCCAGGAGCCCACCAAAGTCTCCCAGGTGGAGAGCCCGGAGGCCAAAGGCGGCCTTCCCGAAGAGAGGAGCTGCCTGGCTGAGGTCTCCGTGTCCAGTCCCGAAGTGCAGGAGAAGGAAAGCAAAGGTCGGTATGAGCAGAGTTGCCACCCCAGCGGGGCGCGCAGCCCGGGAACCAGCGGAGAGGGCGCGCCCGCCCGCGGTGCCCAGAGCCGAGCACAGGCTGCCGCGGCGGCGGGCGCCAGACCTGGCAGGTACTGCTCCTGCCGGAACTTAGAGGGGGGCAATCTCAGCCCTGAGATGGTCCCCACTTCTCTCCCCGCTGCCTTGGCCCTCCCCGCCAGTCCTGGCCCCACGCTGATGGCGCACGGACAGAGGAAAGGCTTGCTGGGTTTATTTTTCCTGAGCTAGACTGAAACACAACAAAAGAGAGCAAAGGGGACCTGCGGCTCGTAAACACGGCCCCAGAGCCTCATTTCTCCTGCTCAGATTTGCATTCCCAGTTTTGCCTTGCGTCCAGTGATCATTTTAAGGCGGTCCAAGGCACGGTGTTCGTGTTCTAGTGTGTGCACCCCGCATCCTGCGAGCTTAGGGGCGGCGAGGGGAACGGGATGGCTGGGCTGGTTGGTGCTTGGATCGGGGAACACGGCTTCCTGCCTTTGCCGGGCTGGGTAACCTTGGCTTTGTCTGGGGAAATTGCCGCAGGCTTTGCAATCCGTCTGTGAAGAGGGCAGAGGCGGAGGGAGAAGAATGGGACCGCATTGCCCACTCTGCAGGGCCAGCCGTAAGGCTGGGCTAGGACAAGGAGCCAGAGCTCTAGCTCTGGAGAAGGAACCCTGAACCTTTCCCCCAGCGCCCAGAGGTGGGCCACGGTATGGGCTACGTGTCTGAGGGGATGCTTTTGTGTGGGCACAGGAAGGCATGAGAAGTCAGGAGATTCTGGGGGAGAGTGTACAACAATGTCAGACAGGGTGGAGAAGGTGTTCTTGCTTCCTCGCTTACCTTGTGAAATAGAATGGCCTCATATAAGCCTGGCTGCGGGGTTCCCTGCTGCCCAGGCAAGTGGGGCGGGGGAGGGGAAGCAGCAGAGGTGGGGATGGAGGCAGTAGTGGGGTTGCTAGGCTTGTTCGGGCTGTGGCTTCTTCCACCGTGGCCCTGTCAGGAGCTGACCACTTGGAATGTTACTGAGGAGATCCTGGGAAGTTTGCTATTGTACTGTTGTTTTCAGAAAGTTGAGAGAGAGAAAGGGATGCGATGTTCTCCCATCATGTCCTTTTGGGCATTTAGATCTCATCTGGCATCAGTTTCAAACCCCTTCCAGGGTCCACCTCGTGCAGGTAACATTAAAATACCAGCATTTACCAAAGCGGCCTGGCTGCCAGCAGGGTCATGGCCAAGGGTACATTTGAACAGACTTAGAGAAAAAAATTCTTGATTTTTTTTTCTTCTTCTCCTTTTGATTTTGTTAGAGGAAATCAAGTCTGATACTCCAACCAGCAATTGGCTCACTGCAAAGAGTGGCAGAAAGAAGAGGTGCCCTTACACTAAGCACCAAACGCTGGAATTAGAAAAAGAGTTCTTGTTCAATATGTACCTCACCCGCGAGCGCCGCCTAGAGATCAGTAAGAGCGTTAACCTCACCGACAGGCAGGTCAAGATTTGGTTTCAAAACCGCCGAATGAAACTCAAGAAGATGAGCCGAGAGAACCGGATCCGAGAACTGACCGCCAACCTCACCTTTTCTTAGGTCCGAGGCCGGTGGGAGGCCAGGATCGGAGAGGGGGCACCGCGTTCCAGGGCCGAGTACTGGAGGACTGGGAAGGCGGAAACAAAACCTTCATTGCTCTTTGTTTTTTGTTTTGTTTTGTTTTGTTTTCCTGCTAGAATGTGACTTTGGGGTCATTCTGTTCGTGCTGCAAGTGATCTGTAATCCCTATGAGTATATATATATATATATTAAAAAACTTAGCACGTGTAATTTATTATTTTTTTCATCGTAATGCAGGGTAACTATTACTGCGCATTTTCATTTGGGTCTTAACTTATTGGAACTGTAGAGCAGCCATCTGTCCATCCATCCACCCATCCACCCATTTATCCATCTATCCATCTATCCAGCAATGTGACTTATTCATGTTCTTCCTAACACAAAAGGTCTCTGTGTGTGGTTAGCCCATGAACTCATGGCATTTTGAATACATCCAGTACTTTTAAAATTACATATATATTTAAAAATTTTAAGAAAACCCACAAGCTTTGGGGGGAGGGGGACTAAAAAAGCACATTACAATGTATCTTTTCACAAATAAACTTAGCAATTGTCCTTGGTGAGATGAAATACTGACAATTTATGCCTTGTAGCCTTTCCCTTGTGGTGCATCTGTGGTCTGGTAGAAGTACAACAGCAACCTGTCCTTTCTGTGCATGATCTGGTCGCATGTATAATGCAATAAACTCTGGAAATGAGTTTGCTCCCTCTGCTTTCTGAAAGGGAAATGTTATGGTGGAAATGAACGCCTTTGGTGAGATTCTCTTCACACTCAACTGCCTGTTTGGAGCAGGCGGGTGGGGGTGTGATAAGGAGCAGAGGAAGGGAGAGGGGAGGAAAAAGCTAGAAAGGCCTAGGGTGCTGGAATTTGGCAGAGGTGGGGAGAGTGGAGTGGTAATCAGCCTGGGTGTGTAGTTTTCATAATTGGGACAAAGAGGAATCCTCTCTCCTCTCCCAACCCTAAATGATGGTAGTGTAACTGCACGCGCACTGGGTCTGAGCCTCCCTCCTCTAGCCGGAGCCTGGTGAGTAAGTGCGTGCCTCACACCGCTTTTCCCTCTCAGCTTCCCCATCTGTGTTTTCTTGTCGTTGGCTTTGGTTATGTTATTTTTTAATGCTTTCAGTGGGATCTTGGTGATTTCTGGCTGGCGAGCCATCATCAGGGGCTAGGTTGAAATTAGTCTTGCCCACCTGGAAACTGCGGGGCCTTGGTTACGGAGCCAAGACAAAGCAGCGGCTTAGCATTGCAGCACATCCAATTCTGGCCCCCTTTTCCTCATCCCCAGCCCTACCCCAAGCGCAAGACAGCCAGGCCCCAGCGAAGCCAAGGATGGGTGAGTTTTTCCATCCCACTTTGCCTTGGTTTCCTTGTGGAAGGGTTTTATGCTCAGCCATTACCTTTTAGAGGCCCACATGAAATTTTTTTAAAGGAAGAAACGGAAAGATTCTCCCCTGTCAGTCCTCCCTCTATTTGAGTACAAAATGCTGCCTGAGCCACTGAGGCAAGAAAATGCCTGAGAGGTGACTGAGAGAGAATTTGCAAGTGAACCTGACTTCCCGTGGAGGCCATGGCTTTCACCCGCTTCTGAAAGATCCCCCGAGGACCCAGGCTTTTCTAGTCCTGCCAGAGAAAAGGGAGGAAGAGCTGACAGCGAATTCGTTGTCCCAGGTCCTGCCTGCAGATTCGAGAATCTCCAACAGCTTTCAGGAGTTTTACAAAACAGATTCTTTCCCTTAAACTCCCGTCGCCTTCTTCCCCCTAAGTACAATCCATGTAGGTGCTCTGGCAGCCTTTAGGACTCAGTATTTATTCAGAATTTCCAACTTCCTTCCGAAAAGCCAAGAACCTTCCCACGTTCAAAGACAGACCCTTTAGGGGTGTCATTTTCTGGAGGGGGGGGCGATGAGGAGGGAGAGGGCGAGATCTGCATCAGTGCCAGACTGAGAACTCTGAAGAGGATTCGCCCAGACTTCACGTTGGTTGGGTACTTTCAACTTGGCTGTTTCTCCCAGCGTTGTGAGGAGCGCCATTAGTTGTGGATAAGGGGCCGTGCCTCAGCGGAAAACCTGTGCTACAAGCAAACGCAGCCCCTCTGGAACAAAATCAGAAAGCCAATGGCAAAGGCAATCAATCAGGCCATAAGTAGCCATTTACCCCCTTCCTTTCCTGGGCTGGAGGTGGGCTGAGAGCCCTCCACGGGTGCGATGGGCAACTTGTAGAGCAAGGAATATGCCCTCCGCCGGCGGCGCCGCCGCAGCTGCTTTTGTCTCGGCTTCCAGCCGGGCTCCCAAGGCTTTGTACCATGGATTTGGGAGTGACAATGGGCATTTCGCTCAGATTCAAGGCTGCCCAGCTTTACCTCAGGAGGCAAGGGGGGAAAAATTGGGAAGGGAGTGGCTCTAGGACCTGGCCCGTGCAGCAGGGTTTTGCAGCTCCCCAGAATCCTCTCGGAGGCCTCCACGGGCTCACCGCGCCAAAGCAGCGGCGCCCTGGGAGCGGCGGTTCCGGGCGGCCTGCCTGAGGCAGGGCCGGAGCGGCGGGTGGGAGCGGGCCCGCGCTGGTATTTGGGTTCTGCCCTGTGGCGTGTTCTCTTCCAGGGCCTTCCCGGCAGCCCCAGAGAAGGAGAGGCACCCTGGCCGCCGCCGTCTTCACCGTGCCGACTCGACCGCCCGCCGGCCCACCCGAGGGCACACAGAAGCCCCCGCCGCGGCGGCCGCCGGCGCGCCTGGTTGGGCCCGGCCCGGCCCGCGAGCCCTGCTGCCCCAGCTCGTCCCGCAGGCCGCGGCGTGTGCCTCGCCTCACGTCGGGGTGTTGTGGCTGCGCGGGCGTGTGTGAGTGTGGCAGGGGGAGGGGGCCCTCGGAGCTGCTCCATCCGTCCGTTTTATTAGGGACACATTAATCTATAATCAAATACACCTCATAAAATTTTTATTGAAAGGCATAATATCATTACAGAGGTCTTCCACCTGTTTTAAACAACACGACAAGCTGTGAGCGAGCGTGTGTGTGGGTCTGGGTGAGGAGGGGGGTGGGTTTGGGTCGGGAGAGAGGCGAGGGGAGAACAACTCCCCGCGGGCGCCAGGGGGCCGCCCCCGAAGGCCCGCCTGCCTCCGGCGGCTCCCAGCTCTGCGCGCCCCCGGCTGCTCCGGGCTCTGGCCAAGCACTGGGTGCGCCCTGGACGCACGGTTCGGGGCCCTGGAGCCGGGGAGCCAACGCCGAGGTCGAGACTGCTGGACCCAGAGCCTCAAGAGGAGGCGAACAAATAGTCCCCAGCGCCGCCTCCGGCCGCCGTGGAGCCTGTGGTCCCAGCCGCCACCACCGGGCGGGCCGGGCTGGGCCGGGTCCGGGCGCCGAGCCGGGTGCACGGACCTGGGCCTGCGTGCTCTAATTGCGGCGCTTATGTTGATGATGATTTTTTTCTTTCTTTCTTTTTTTTTTTTTTTAAATCACAGCAACCCCCAGTTTAGCGGACTGATTTACTCCTGGTATTGGTAAATATGATCACGTGGGCCGCGCGACCAATGGTGGAGGCTGCAGCCTGCGAACTAGTCGGCGGCTCCGGCGCCGGCGGGGAGCGGCTCGGCGGCGGGCAGTGTAACCTTGGGTGGGAGCGCGCGGCGCCTCAAAATGTCCTCCAGTGGCACCCTCAGCAACTACTACGTGGACTCGCTCATAGGCCATGAGGGCGACGAGGTGTTCGCGGCGCGCTTCGGGCCGCCGGGGCCAGGCGCGCAGGGCCGGCCTGCAGGTGTGGCCGAGAGCCCTGCCGCCGCCGCCGCCGCTGAGTTCGCCTCGTGTAGTTTTGCCCCCAAATCGGCCGTGTTCTCCGCCTCGTGGTCCGCGGTGCCCGCCCAGCCCCCGGCGGCGGCGGCGATGAGCGGCCTCTACCACCCGTATGTGCCCCCGCCGCCCCTGGCCGCCGCCGCCTCTGAGCCCGGCCGCTACGTGCGCTCCTGGATGGAGCCGCTGCCGGGCTTCCCGGGCGGCGGTGGCGGCGGCGGCGGCGGCGGTGGTGGCGGAGGCGGCGGCCCGGGCCCTGGTCCCAGCCCCGGCCCCGGCCCCGGCCCCGGCCCCGGCGGCCCAGCCAACGGGCGCCACTACGGGATTAAGCCTGAAACCGGAGCGGCCCCGGCCCCCGCGGCCGCCGCCTCCACCTCCTCCTCCACTTCCTCGTCCTCCTCCTCCAAACGGACTGAGTGTTCCGCGGCCCGGGAGTCCCAGGGGAGCGGCGGCCCCGAGTTCTCGTGCAACTCGTTCCTGCGGGACAAGGCGGCAGCGGCGGCGGCGGGGGGACCCGGGCCCGGGGCGGGCGGCTCGTCGGAGCCCTCGGCTTGCAGCGACCACCCGAGCCCGGGCTGCCCGCTGAAGGAGGAGGAGAAGCAGCCGCAGCCGCCGCAGCAGCAACTTGACCCAAGTAAGTGCAAAAGAAATTGCCCCCTGATTTATTGCTGGAACCTGTAAGGCTCGAATGTGCAAAACTGATAGTTTTACTAACCTATAAAAACGTCTAGACGCCTACCCAAGCCTAGGCGAGCAACACGCATCCATAAAAAAGCTTCCCATAACCACCTACCCCGGGCGCGCGGCTTGTACGGTAAACAGAGCGCGGGCATTAGGCTTTTTATGATAATTCCCCCAAGTTGTGAAAAGCGGCCATCCTCGGTGAAATTAATTTAACGACCTCTCTTCCCCACCCTGTCGTCTCTCCTTGCCTCCCCTCCGCCCCTCACTCCCAAACCCCCCTCTGCGTAGACAACCCCGCCGCGAACTGGATCCACGCTCGCTCCACCCGGAAAAAGCGCTGTCCCTACACCAAATACCAGACCCTAGAGCTGGAGAAGGAATTCCTCTTCAACATGTACCTCACCCGGGACCGGCGCTACGAGGTGGCCAGGATTCTGAACCTCACCGAGAGACAGGTCAAAATCTGGTTCCAGAACCGTAGGATGAAAATGAAAAAGATGAGCAAGGAGAAGTGTCCCAAAGGAGACTGACCCGGCGTGGCGCCGGCGGCGGGAGCGCTCTGAGGCCGCGGGGGCTTCTCCCTTTGTGGGTGCTTGGTTTCCAGAAACTCTCCGGCGACGCGGACTTTCCGTTTTGTTTTGCTTTAGGTAGAAGTGACTGTGTGGTTGGTCTCTGTGAGGTATTTGGGGGACTCTGTATTTGCTCGCTTCTGTCGTGGAGAACCCAAGTGGCTGTGGGGGGTCTTTCCCCGCTCCCACTCCCTCCCTTTCCTGCTCCGTTGGTTCCTTCGGAAATGCTATATTTTGTGAGTGCACGCTAGTTTGAGGAGCCTTCTCCTGTCCTGTGTACATTTCCCCCCATGTTGAAAAGTGCTGTAGTTTAGCCCTCAACCCCTCCACGCCGCCCAGACAGGGGCCTGAACGCGCCCCACTTCGGAGAACCAAGGCCGAGTGGGACGGCACCGACACCCCCGCGCCGAAGCCCAGCCGGGCTGCCCCGGTTGCAGAAGCCCCTTCCCTCAGGGAGCCCTCGGGCCCTCGGCGGCGGAGACCTCATGTGAGGCCTAGCGTGGCGACGGGGGCCTCGGGTGGGTCGGGGGTTTGCCCTGGGTGCAGTGGAGGAGCTGCTGTCTCCCCGGGAGGGCCGAGCTCGCGTGGGCGGCGGCGGCGGGTGACTCTCCCGGTTCCTGCCCAAGGACCAGTTGTAAATGTTACCGCTTCCTACCAATAAATGCTGACCTGATCCAATGGAGCCCAGACGCTGGCCCTGAACCTTGTGTGCCTGCTTTCTGTGTCTGCAAAATATCACCCTTACAGGACTCGCGCCCCATCCCTGGGAGGGAGACGTTGCTAAAAACCCGGGGTGCGACCACCTCCAGGGCTCTCCCATGGCGCAGCCCAGGGGTGGCGGCAGGGGCTCAGGGGCTACCCCAGCCTGCTTCCAGCGCCTTCTGAACTCTGTGCCCCGAGCCCAGTGTCACCCTGGCAGCAGCACCCAGCCAAGTCCGCAGGAACCGGGGCGGGGGGAGGGGCAGAGGGCAGGGGTGCGGGTGGGCAGGCACCCCAGGCCCTCCTGGACTCAAGGAGGCTCCAGCCCTGTCTCCAAACAAGGGAACGACCAGCTCTGCATTCTGGAGCAACTCCCCCAGGTCGGAGGGGCTGGCTGGCTCCGGGAGGTCCAGGCCGCTCAGCCTGCGCGCTTCCGCCCCTCCCCATCAGAGCCCCAAAGTGACCCTAAGGGATCAAAACGGGTCAAGTCACTCCTCCCCGGCCACCCCCAGCCCACTGCCCGCCTTTCCCCACCCAACGCTGGGCCCTCAGAGGGCTGCATTCAGGGGCTAATATGAAGGTCATTGTAAGTGCGGGTTCGGAGCAGCGCGCAGCACGGCGATAGCAGGCCCCAGAGGCGGCGGCGGCGCCGGGCGGCCCAGGGTGGGCGGAAGGCGGGGGCGGTGACGGAGATCTTGGGGATCCTGATGAAGGAGGAGACCCGAAGGGAAAGCAGAGGGGGGCTGGGAGGGAAAGCCAAGGCCCAGATCCGGCAGAAGGTGCTGCGGACCCCCGCCCCTGCGGCCAGCCCGGTACCTAGAGCTCTTTGAAAACAGGAAGAGCCAAGGTGCCATAAAGCCATCGAGCCGGCGAGACGTCTGGAGGTAATGAGTTTACTGCAGGCCAGGCGCTTCGCTTTGAAACCATCTCATTTTGATGTTTGTGTTTGTGAGGGAGAAGGAAAAACGCAGACAAAACTGGGTCTTAAAATCTGGACAATAAAATATCAACGAGAGACTGCGTAGGACCAAGGAGGCGCAGGGGCTTAGGCGCCCCTGGGTGAGGTGTAGGCGCCTCAGAAATAAAAATGAGAGGTAGGAAGGAGGAGACGATGTCTTTCTCCTTTTTAAAATACGCCAGGTATTGGGAAGTAGCCCAGGGAGGGAGCCTCTTGATAATTTTTTGCGTAAGGCACGGGGTCTCGCTTGTTCTCTAAAAAATCGGCCTGTAAACCCAGGAGTAGGAAGATCTTAAGTCGCTTACTTGGAGGAGAGCTTCCCATATTCGATGGGGTAGGGTGTGGGGGGGAGGAAGCATCTGCCTTGTCCCAGAAATATCCAGCCTTCCATTCCAAACTTCGCAGCAAAAAATATGGTTGAAAATTATATTTATTCTCTTATAAAAATACAATCGTTACACCTGAACTGGCAGAAAGTATTTTCTAAAATAAGAGAAAAGATTAACCACACAGGAAGCATCTAAACCGCTATTTTTAAAAGAAAAATTCAAGCGGAATGCTTAGTCAATTCAGTTCAGTCGGTGACTTTTGATATAAAATTTTAAAATCCCATTTATTGTTCATAGATTCAAACTAACTCAAGCTAAACAGGGACTTTCCAATAGCCATTCAGAGATGCAGCGGAAAGCTTCGTCTTTGGCTTCGATCCCTCTCAAATTGCCCAGCTAAATGGTCCAAGCTATTAAAATTACAAAATTAATAAAGCACATATTCATGATTTAGTGTGAAGAGCAACAGCTTTAAAGGAAAACATAAAATGCAATGTTTGACTTCTATCACTTTTTTTGGGGGGGGGGGAGTTGTCAAAGTGCCTGGCTTCTCTGAAAAAAAAAAAAAGTCTCTCTAAAGTTGATATTTAGAAACTTGTGATTTTTGTTAAATCTAGCTTGTCCTATAATTGTGCTTAAAAGGCACAGCTGGCTGATTATAGAATGGAGCTCTACTGGTGTCTGGCAAAAGAAGGGCTGAAAGCTTTTGGAAAAGTCGCTACTGGAAGCTCTAGGGAGCACAAATGAGAATATCCTCGGCATTCAGGAGTCTGTTTGCTGCACTTGACTTGTTGACAATCAAATAGATGAAGCATTATTAGTGTCAGCGGTCCAAGCCCCAGTCAAACTAGAGAACAAGACTGGAATTGGTTTGAGCCAAATAAAAGGGGAAGTTACTCAGTGGGCTCGAGTTGGCATTTGGCCACTAGAGAGCGCTATTGCTCCACTGTCTGATCTCGTAAAGCTGGACTTGCGGCGGAGTAAGGTTTTGATTAAAAATACTTACAATCTTATTTTTAATCCCAAATTAGGATAAATTTAACCAAAAAATAAACAAGTGTGCACTATTAAATTCTCCAGTCGTGTTTGTTAGGCATAAAATTTTGGCTCAGTTGGGATTTCAGAAAATTTGGATTATAGCACATCTGAAACTATAAAACGTTATAGTAAATCAATGCATTCTATCAAAACAGAAATGTGTAAAAGCGTACGTCTTTATTTACGAAGTAAGTCGTGCTCTTTTTCGATAAATACTGTAGACAGGACGCTTAAATAATTTAAAGAAACTGTTTTTGCTGGAAGAGGAATTGTTGTGTGGTAATGTTTTCTGAATTAGGCCTGAATGTGTAGATAGGAATTTTAAGGTGTTTGGGTGTCTTACCCCAGCCCCAGGAACCTCGCAGTTCTAGAAGGTGCGCTGTAGCTTTGAGATCTGAGCTCAGTTCCGTTTGTTTCCCATTTCATTCCCAAACCCTCTCGCACACCGGGAGACAAACAGCGAAAGAAAAAGTCACAACTACAAAGTGAGCTCCAAAGGCTTTATTGAAAATAGTAATCTATTAATTGGGTATTTGCAAAGTCCAAGTACAAATCCTTAACTGTCAGAATCAGTTCGTTCCGTCAGGACTTAAAAGACAGTTTACCTGGCGACAACCTGCAGGAAAACCCAAACAAAAAGCAAACAGAACACCAACCTTGCCCTCCACCACCCCCATCACAGTCTTTCGCACACCCTCTGTAGTAACTTAGGAATTCAGTGAGGCATGTTTTTATCTTCTCAGATGTCTTAGCTTTACCTTCGCCACTTCCAGCCATTCCCTGTGCAGATTACTGATTCAGACACGTTATGTCCTCGCTATGCCTTTGCTTCTCGACCTTATTTTCTCCACGTGTAAAAATAATCAGTCCGCCCGCTCCGACCTCAGCCGCGCGTGCACGGGCAGGGCCGGCCCCCAGGGCACGAGGGCTGGGTGGAGGCGCTCGCCCGCCGCGTCCTGGGGACCGGCCGCGGTGCCAGACGCCCGCGTTTGGCGTGGAGAGCCGTCGTGGCGCGCTAAGCTGAAGCCCGAGCGCCCCCGTAGGGCTCGGGCGTGGCTGCCAGATCCGTGCCCAAGGACAGGCCAGAAGCCTGGCACCCTCACGTCGCTGGGTGATCTCCGTGGAAGAGGGGCTCAGAGCTTCCACACTTCACCCCGCGCGCTCAAGAACCCACGAAATAGCCCGAGTAGGCGAGGAAACACACACACACACGCACAACCAAGACTCACTGCATTTATTGGACATGAAAACAGGAGGAGAGAGAAGAGTGTGTTGGGGAGCCCGTGCGCGGCGGAAGGCCAGGCAGCTTGGGGAGAGCGGCGAAAACTGGGAGCACCTGGCCGAGTCACGCTCGACTGGCCCGCCAGCCCCGGGCCGCTTCTCTGCCCTAGGGCGCATCTTTTTATTTCGGAAGAAGGGGTAACTTCAGGCTGAGGCCCGCGCCCGCTCTCTCGGCAGCTGTTTCCCAGGCGAGGCTGTTCGCGGGAGATGGGGCCGCCCGCCGCTGCCTGGAACCGGCGTGATCCGCACGCCGGCCCCAGGGCTCCGCGGGTGCACGGGCGGGCCTCGGGCCCCCCCAGCCTGCGCAGGTCCGCGGAGCCCCGGGAGCCACACGTCGCGCCCAAGGCAATGCCACCCACACCGGCGTGGGTCCCCCTTCCCGCCTGGCAACATTTCTGTCCCCTCTTGTGTTTACTCCTTCGGCAATGCTAATGTTTCCACCCTCCACCCCCGCCCGCATTCTCCAGCCTCCCGCCCTGCGCCTGGTACTGACGTCCACCAAGGGTGAAATGATGGAAACTATATTCATGGACATGATTTCCATTAAATATCAATTAACCTGGGAGCCTCAGCCAGGCATGCAGTGCGTCAAGGGTAAAATGTACATCTCATTTCCACAGGGCCCACTCGGCTGGAAAAGCAGGGCTTTGATAACGCCAGGATTTGGGGTCACGCTTGCGGCCTTTCATCAAACCACTTAGATAGGCCCGAACAAACGCACGGTCCGGTCCATCAACACCGCCTGTCCCTCTTCCCTGCGCTGCGCGCGCGTGGCCACAGATGCGAAAGCCACGGCCAATCTGTTAGGCCGTTCCAGCGGCTCTGGGAGGGAGCCCTGGACTCCGCAGCCTCCTGGGTGTGGCCTCCCTGGCTCCCCCAAGTCTAAGGTTCCGCCGCGCCCCCTCCCCGCCGCCTGCGGCCCGCGTCCTCTCGGGCCCGGGGCAAAGCCAGCCCTTGGCAGTGCAGCTTTATGGGCCCCCTTTAAGGCCGGCGGAGGCATCTTCGGGCTGGCGTGAGCCGTCCCGTCGGGCGTCGCCGCTCGCCGCCGCGGATCCCTCCGCGCGCCTATCTCGCCCCCATCTCGCCGCCTCTGCTCGAGCGGCGTGGTGCGAAAATGCCTCGTCGGCGCGCACCGGGGCTGCAGCCGCCGCGGCGGCGGCGGCGGCGGTGGCGGTGGCGGCGCGAGTGTTGGGAGGGGGCCGCGGGGGGGGCGAGGTGAGGGGCGGCGGCGGGCAGAGCGCGTTGTGCTTTTTTTTTTTTGCTTTTCCCTCCAGAGTGGGGGTTTGTAAGCCGAAGCCAGAGTGTGTCCCCGTGGGCCGGGCGCACTTTTTTTTTTTTTTTTTCTTGTCCCGGTGCGCTAGGGCCGCCTGGTGCCTGAGAGGAAACAGTGAAGGCAGCGGGGCAGGTCACCCGGGGCGTCGGCGATTATATTGCGGCCGAGCCGGCGCGCGCCGGGAGAGGCCGGGCGGGCGGTGGCGCGCGGGGGCTGGGCGAGGCCCCGCGACCCGCGAGGGAGGCGGCGCAAGGCCGGGGCGGCGGGCGCGAGCGCTGGGCATGAACGCCCAGTAGTCGAGCGCCCGCGGCTGCCGGGCCTCAGAGGCGACGCGGGCGGGCGGGCGGGCGGCAGCAGCGGCGGCGGCGGCGGCAGCGACGTAGCCTCGCGGCCCCAGCGGCCCCCGCGGCAGTGCGGCCGAGCCCAGACGCGCTCGCTGCCCGCTCGGCCCCGGCCGCCGCCCTCGCCGTCGCCCGGATGAATTCGTACTTCGTGAACCCGCTGTACTCCAAGTACAAGGCGGCGGCCGCAGCGGCGGCGGCGGCGGCGGCGGCGGCGGGCGAGGCCATCAATCCCTCTTACTACGACTGTCACTTCGCGCCCGAGGTCGGCGGCCGCCACGCCGCCCTGCAGCTCTATGGCAACAGCGCGGCCGGCTTCCCGCACGCGCCCCCGCAGGCGCACGCGCACCCGCACCCGTCCCCGCCGCCCGCTGGGCCCGGGGGCGGCCCGGGCCCGGGGCCCGGCCAGGACTACTTCCACCCCGGCGGGGGCAGCGCGGCCGCTGCCTACCAGGCCGCCCCCCCGCAGCCTCCGCCTCCGCCGCCGCCTCCCCCCTGCGGCGGGATTGCCTGTCACGGGGAGCCCGCGAAGTTTTACGGATACGATAACTTACAGAGACAGCCGATTTTTACGACCCAGCAAGAGGCCGAGCTGGTACAATATCCTGACTGTAAATCGTCCAGTGGTAATATTGGCGAGGACCCAGACCACTTAAATCAGAGCTCGTCTCCTTCTCAAATGTTTCCCTGGATGAGACCACAAGGTTGGGATGCATTTTTTTTTTTAAGCGGGGAGAGGGAGAGAAATCTGCTTTCATCTCACGTTCTAGCTTTAAAACTCCCCTTTCCTCTCCCTCTCCCCCTCCTTTTCCTTCTTGTGTAGCCACAGTGGCTCTTATTCATAAAGTAATACAGGCATTTTTTTTTTTAAAGTAGAAACCATGTAAAGCTGATGGGGACAGAATAATTGTCAAGACCTTCTCTCTGCCTCTCTTGCCTGCACACCTATATATATCAGCGCTAAAGAGCTTGAGTGTTTCACCCCTTAGACCTGTTCAGAAACCTCCAAGCAACTTACAGAGGCACCATTACACTTTAAAAACCTTTATTCCCCCCTCTTTTTTTTTGTTTTTGTTTTAATCAGCAGCTCCTGGTAGACGAAGAGGAAGACAAACCTACAGTCGGTTCCAAACCCTAGAGCTGGAAAAGGAATTCCTTTTTAACCCTTATCTGACCAGGAAAAGAAGAATCGAGGTTTCCCACGCCCTAGCCCTCACGGAGAGACAGGTAAAAATCTGGTTCCAGAACAGGAGGATGAAGTGGAAAAAGGAGAACAACAAGGACAGATTTCCCATTTCCCGACAGGAGGCGAAGCTCGGGGAGACCAAAGAGGAAGCTGGAGAGCTAGAGGAAGACGGGGCTGGAGGCCCAGCAGATTAACTTCCACCTCCAAGTGTTATCGCAGACGGTTAAAACTAATGGCCAGCCTTGCTGGCGGGCCCCACCTGTGGTCCTCGTTGGAAAAGAGCTTACCTGTGTTGCAAGCTACCTTCATGCCACTGCTCTTGAGATTTCTGCGCTTTGAAAGGAATGTGGGTGTTTTTAAAGTTTCTAGTATCACAGAGAAGCAGTCCTTGAGCTGTCCTATGAAAGGGTAATTTGATACTGACTTTGTAGCCATAGTTTTTGTAATGATAGTTTTTAATGTCTGAACTGGCGATTTTCCTCAACAACGTAAACTTCCTAATGATTAGCACTAATAATTGAGTATAAAATGCTTTATTAATCAATCAAGTGCACTTGAACATTTTAAATCTTTTCTTTATGGTGAGTAAATTAAAGTAAATCTATTAATTTTAAAAAGAATTATGCCTGCAGAATATGTACTTTATATTATTTGATTAAAACATTATTTATGGTTTTCTCTTTCTGCTTTTATAATGGTTCGGGTGCCTTTTGTTTACTTGTAAAAGGGTGTTTTGTTTTGTTTTTAGTACTTTGTAAATGTAATATCTCGGGGAAATGTCTGGGCCAAATATTTGAAAAGCACATGGCAGCTGGCGAGTGAGGGCAGCTTTGCAGCTCCTTTAAACTTCAGGAAAATTGTTGGGCCAGTGACGAAAGTGTGAGGACAACGTCAAAGTCACTCTTCTCTCATCCATGCAAATTATGGCAAATAACTAACTGAAAGTGAACAAATACTTGAAAAACCAATTGTGACATTTTCGCTCGTTAACTTCTCACTTGGGTGAGCTGCCGCGTGGAGTGCCTCTCCTTTCTCAACTTGCTTTCGTTTTGAACCGCGCCTGTGTTCGCCTGAAATCGGTCTCTCTCCACGGCGGGGCTGCGCTGCGATTCCAGTTTTTGAGTAGGTGCCATATTTATTTGTATGCCTTCGCTGCGTTTGCACACTCCTTTTAACCCTCCTCGCTGTGCCTGTCTCCAGATGTCGGTTGGTACGTCCTCTGCTGTTCCTCAGGAAAATGATGGCCTCACCTATTTGAAACCAACGCAGAAAAATCCTAGTGTAAACAACCGCTCGGTTACAAAGCTAGCTCCTGAATAAAGAAGTGAACGTCTTCCTAGAGGCAGTGTCTTTGAGCGCCACCGCAGATGCCCCCTTTCTTGAGTCACAAACAATGCGCTGGGCGCTGGGGAAGGACTTGCTCCAGGCTCAGGGCTTCTCTTTGATGAGAAAAGGACGAGGGTTACACACGTCCCTCAGCTGGGAGGGAGCTGTCATTCCTGAGAGGGCTGGGTAGGCTATCCTTACTCCATCTTGCTCTAAATAATCCTGCTAAGATACTGTGAAAGCTTTGAACTTTGAAAAGGACTAGAGTTGTGGGCCCAGTGGGGGACAACCCAGAGTCCAGGTTACACCAGAGCTTACTCCACTGCACCCGTCCGGGTTGATGCTGGGGCTTGGCATCTGTTGTTAACAAGATATCCATTTCCCATTGGAGGCTGCTCCTGCAGCTGCCACTTTAGGAGGGGGGGGGGGGTGAAGGGAGGGAGAGAAGAGAAATACAAGTAAAGAAATATTTCTCTCTGAAAATGAGAAAGCGCCTTTATTAGGTAGACAGGGAGGAGCTCTCTGCTTATCTAGCTTCATTTATTTCTAAAGAAGCACTTTTTAAATCTCTAGGATAGTTTTTATTGAACAGGTAAGAAAATGGAATCCTTTAGTTTGGGGCCAGCGTCAGCCCTTCAGGTGTTAGCGGGCTGTTTGCCTGATGCTTCACAGACTGAGAAACGTCTGGCATCGGCCAGGTCAGAGGCAATGCAGCACCTTGGCTTCCACCCCCCAACCCCCAGCCCCCACCTCGGGAAGACTCCATGGCTGTGACATTTGCCGACCTAAGCCAGGAAAGACAGTTTTAAGTCACGGGTAGCTAGGGGCTTAAGCATTTGCACAGGAGGAGACAGCTGCAAATGCACAAGCTGGATTTGGGACTGCTTTTGCTCTGGGTGCTGTTGGCTGTGCAGAGCAAGGATGCCAAGGGCTGGCCAAGACCATGGCCGGGGAACAGCCTTGGGCATACACTGTCCAAAGACTGGTGCTGGCTAAACTCCAGCTGCCCTTGATGGAAGCGATTTCTGTTTATATCAGCAAAACTTGCTGTCTCTCACACAGAACGCTCCCCGTATGTCACCTTATTATCAGGTGAGGGTTCCTAGTGCATGGGTGGGTGTGGAAATCAAGAGGAGATAAAAATGTCACTTCCTTAGCGTTCTGTGCTGCCGTGGAAGTGTACTTCTGGCCCCATCGGCTCCATTAACCATGCAGCTAATGTACAAAAAATGCTTCAGTGGCAGTATTTCCTAGATTTGAGAATGTGAATTTGTACATATCCACAGATGACACAAGTGCAGAAAATGTTGTCTACAAACATAGGTGTGTGTGTTTTGTAGTTGGGAAAGGACGTGGATTTGTCTCCAAATAAAGACCTTGAGGAATGACACAACACACACACACTCGCCACCTTCTATCTTAGAATAGCCTGTCTTGTTTCATGGACACAGACTGGCAGTGGGGAGTGCACAAGAAGCCCTTCGGACCGACTCAAATTTGCAACATTTGCACTGAGGCAACATGCAGACATTTTTGCTGCAGAAATTTGCATAAACCTTCAGAGAACACTTTGCAAACCCGGGCGGTGGTGGTGCTTTTCTGCTCTGGACTACTGCAGCCTGCTTAGAGAAAAATAGGACCCTCCAATGTGAGCAGTGAATGAAAGAATCACGCCTTGAGTGATTTAGGTTCTCTGTTTGCAAGCACCAGAAACACACAATAGAAGGATGTGGGTCTCAGTGGTTTCTAGAGAAAAGTCAGTTTAGAGACGCCATTGTGTGAGGTTCCACAAAGCCCGGTATGTTGTCTACCTCCGCACAGGGGGACAAGTGTGCAAATATGGCTGCTCTTTCAGTGCTGAGTCTGCCCAGTCCTCATTCCCAAGCTGAAAAGGAGAGCCATAAAGCTTTTGTGTGGGTAAAAGGGGAGAAGATAATGAGCCAAAATGATGATTGAAATTATTTCTCAAAAAGACCTAGAATTGAGCAATCGCTTTACTCAGTTCCTTATGTATAGAGCAGTGTAAAGTGTTCTGGACTTGGGAGGGCCCAACAACTTGCCTCATTCGCTTATGTAATTTAAAAAATGCCGTTTTATTCATCAATGCAGGTATTGCTATTTCACACCCCAGCTGTGTCCTCTGCTTCCTGGCGCCTGCTGACGCCTTGGGCATCTAGAGGGGTACAAAGGAGGAGTGAGGACATTTTAATAGACCCCGGCTGCTGTGTGGCTCCCTGCAGCAAGGTTAGGGCCCACTGGCTTTTCTGGAAAGAGGATGACTTTTGCTGACAGATGACAACAGAAGTCTAATCAAAAATCATCTCAGGTCATAGGATACAAATGGCCTGCCCCAGAGGGTGCTGAAGTCTACCACCACCCAGGTATTTACTGACTGGGAAGATGTCCATAGCAGAGAACTTAGGCACAGGCACTCACTGCGAAGCTTTATAAACATATAGACCAGCAATCTAAAAAGGCTACCTCGGAAAGGACTGGGTGGGGCGGGGGCGGGGCTTATCTCTGACACAGGTGCAGAAGCCTGCACAGCCCTGTTCCACAAAGGCACTGCTGGGGGCCAGCCAATTTCATTTCAGGGACAGGGGAGCTCACCGGAGCAGTTCCTATGAAAAACACAAAGGGGATGTGATGCCTGCCTTTGAGGAAAAAGAATCAGACATTTTTTTCTGGGCTGATTTTGGAGAGCCACACCTTTCCTGGACAAATGCAGCCCTTCTTCAGTGCTGCAGTGCGCAGGCTTCTCCACGGACAGTCATTTGGGGGAGGGGAGGAAAAGGGGGTAACTAGAATTAAATTCCATAAGAATAAGAACTGTTCTCAGAGGGAACCTAAAGTGAGGGGTTTCAGAAAGGTTGCTTCCCCCCTAAGCTGAGCCTGTACGGGAGGGAGGATGCCTCCGTGGGGACAAGCACCCGGCAGCCTGCGCTCCGAGGGTATTGTGGACAGATAGGTTGACAAGCACCTGAAGCCATTTCCGGCCTTGGAGCGGGTCGTCGACCCTCCTACCACCCCAGGAAATGGGAGGGACCCCAGTTTATGTCGGAACAGAGGGAGGGGGCGCTTTCTTGGCCTGCAGAGCCCAGGTTTTCTGCGCAAGACCACTGGTGTTGGCTTGATGGGAGAAGCAAGGGGGCAAAAACCGAAAGTGCTTGGCGGCCCTTCCGCGGGGGGGGGGGGGGCGGGGAGCAGGAGAGGCCACGCGCCCCAGAAAGGCTAGAGGTGGGGGGCGGGGGTGTCCTCGGGGATCGCGGGAGCCGCACGGAGCTCATGCTTCCCTCCCACGCAGTGGCTCGCTACGCAGAGACGTGGAGCCCAGCAAATCCCCCCCCCAAAAAAAAACACCAAATAATTCCTGGAAAAGAGGAGAGGAAGAGACAGGAAAACGAACACTAGGGAGCTAACTGAGGGAAAGGAGAGGGACAGAGAAAGAGAGAAAAGGAAAGAAGGGAGGGAGCGAGAGAGGAAGGAGAAGAGAGAAGAGAGGGAGAGATAGAGAGGAAAAACATGGCGCTTGCGAGCTGTATGTGCAAAATCCGCAAGGAATTGCAGTAAATTCCTTTTTGTTTGAAGAAAATTTACAACTTGGTAATAGACCTTTTTATGACCTATTTGCGGTCGTCATTGGCTGCGGCTGGTCATGTGCAGGCGCCGCTCTCCTTCACGGCCTTTTTCCTGATTTCCCAGGCGAATTTTCCCCCGCATTCTGCTTTCCCAGAGCCTCACCCCCTCTTTTTCTAACCTTTGTCTCTGCAGAGGTGGGCTCCAGTCGCCGGCTGCGGGATTGCGGGGTCCGCAGCGGCCTCGGCTCCCGCCCGGCGCCCAGCCTGACCTCCCCGCGGCTGCCTCCGGAGCCGGCGGAGAGCCCGGCGGGGGAGCCCGGAAGAAGCCCCAGGCGCCGAGCCCCCCGCCGGCGCTGACACCGCCTGCCGGGAGCAGCCGGCCGGCTACGGGTGACTGCGGCCCCGCGCCTCCGACGCGGTTCCCTCTCCAGCATGAGCTGCTCGCTGCCGCCGGGAGTGCGCCAAGGCCGGCAGCGCCTAATGGATTACAGCAGCCGCCCGGGCCGACCGCCGCCTGCAGCTCGGCAGCCTCCGGGTAAGAGTCGCCCACTCTCCGCGCCCCAGCACTGCCAGCGGGAAGCCCAGGGCGCCGACCGCCGGGTGCAGCTCGGGAGCCGGGCGGGCCCTCTCTGCCGTCCCCCGGAACCTGGGGGTCGCTGGTCCCCTGTCCCCTGGTCCCTCCAGCCCCAGGACGTCCCCTGGGGCTCCGGGTGGGGTCGGGCAGCGCTCAGAAGTCGAGGGGAGAAGCCCCATTTTCTCCAGAGAAGCGTGTCGCGGGCTGGGTGGAGAGCACTCGCGGCCCCCCGGGAAGAAGGGCGTGACGACGGTTTCTGTCCACCTCAGCCTCGCTGGCGGGTCGCAAAAGGCACCCTCTAGTACACAACAGTGGCTTTGCGGTTTGTCTGTGGTCAGAGGTACCAGAGAGGCTAACAGGTGTTTTTGTGTGTGATTTTTTTTTAAAGGATTGGGGCTTGGGTGGGGGTGGGGTGGGTTCTGGTATTCCGGGTGTGCCTGATTTTTAAATGTAGGTTTTGGTGAATGATGCCGGCTAATTTCTAGGGTTTATGGTTGATTGGGCCTTGCGTAAGATGCAATCTGAAATATTCTTAAAGGTTTCTCTAGTTCTCACAGAATTTCTGTAACCAGTCTGGATTGATTCCTTCCACATACGTTAATCCGTCAGGTGAATTTGAATGATTTTATGTCACAAAATGAATGCGGGGGTGGGGGGAGGGTGATAATAGTATCAGAGAATCTGGTGTAGGTTTGGGGGGAAAACCCAATAGACATTTCAGAAATGCAAAGCATTTCTGAGTTCAAACATCGCGTGTGTTTTTCATTTACCAGAGCAGGAAAAGAAAAAGTCTTTTCTCTTTGTAAATGTATTGTTTTCTTTGCCTATCAATAAATATTATACAGCAACATTTTTACCCTTTACTTCAAAGCTACTGAACCAAAACATGCGTAAAGGAAAAAAAAAAAACCTTCGTAGAAAATAAAAAAGCCACAAATTGCAGTTTCGTCACGCCGGTTTTGAGTGGCACCTGACGGTGCAGGTCGAAAATCCTGTGGCCCATTCCCTCGTGATCGCGCGGTGAAGTCGTGAAACCCTTGCACAATCTGCCGCATTGCGCACAGGGCAGGCCTGCGCCGTGGCGGGTGTCGGCCCAAAGCACCCAGCGGCGAATCCGAACGTATTGGGCCCCGAGTAGTCCGCTGTGACAGTGTTTCTGAACAATAAATGACATCTTGATCATTTTTAGTTATTAGAGATGCAATCACGCCCTTTTCAAAATGGAGGACCACAATTTGTGGCCAGTTGATGTGCGCGAGGTTCTCCTGGATCAGGAACTGATCATTCATAAGAAACTCATAGATGACTTTTTTTTTTTTTTAATTGGAACGTCTGTATTTTGTCACTATTTCCCCACCTCGGGTACCACGGCTGCTAAAACTAGTCTTCGTTGTCGTTAAAACGCATTGCGTACTGAGCAGCAGGCTCCCGGATCAGGGTTCCTAGGCCCCGCCAGAGCAGCCCCTGCATCGGCAGGGGTGGGGTGGGGTGGGGACGGGGTGGAGTTGGGGCGCCGATGGACAAACCCTGTGTTCAGAGCCTAGGTCGCTTGTCCCTAGGTCTGGTGGCCCAGCGCCCCCGGGCGACTAAAGACGTGGGCGAGCCGCAGGTCCGATGACGCAGCAGAGGGTGGTGTCCTGGGCAGACACGGAGGACTGAGGGGCTCTTTGTAAGCCCCCTTGGTCGCATGAAGAGCTTGTTGTAAAGAAACGGCCGGTTGCATCTCAGGGAATAAATAATCTGCAGACTGCATTTGAACCCGGGCCATGCAGTCCAAGAGGGGACTGGGAACGCTGTGGCTGAGGCCGGAAAAGCCTCCATTGTCTCTTAACACAACAAAATGAAACAAAATGGAAAGCACTGCAGCTCCGCGAGCTCAGCAGCCCGGAAGCGCAACTCCCAGCGCCGTGGGCCCGAACCTCGGTCTGTTTCTGCATGAGGGAGCCGGTGGCACGTCCAGGCCTCGGGGACGCCGGGCCAGGCTGGCTGCTGGGCTTGCGACCCGGGCTTGCGGCGCCGCCACACACACGGCCACGCACCGGGGCAGGCCGCCGAGCACGCTGCCCCTCGCGTGTTCCTCCAAGTCAACGTATTTCGGCAGAGTTCCGTTCTCAGAGCTCGAGACACAGGGAAATCGGAACAAAGACAGTATTTCACCCTGGGCTGGCAGGCAGCTGTTAGAGGTATTTACGGCCTCGCCGCAGTGCGGCGGCGGCCGCCGGGCAGGGTGTGCAGGGGCGCCGGAAGCTGCGGAGAGGCCGCTGGGAATTCTCATTCAAACCCAATTTAGGGCCACGCTATGAATAGATGCCCACTTTCTGGGGACTAGTTCGTTGGTCGTGAAGGCTTTGCAGGGTGAGGGAGAAGCTGGGCTCCCTGGACGTGGTAGGGTGGCTGGCCCCGACTGGATAGACGAAATCAGGGAAGTGGTGCCCCGAGTGGGCAGGGTGTGATCCAGACGACAACCTCGAGAAGCGACCACTGGCACCACTGAACAGGGCTTTGCAAATCGGAAAGGACGGGCCAAGTTTTTAATTCAGGTTTTCCTGGGACAGAAAAGCGCATTTCCTGTCTCTTTGACGTGGGGCTTCCAGGCTCCTCTGCAGCTAGGCGCGGGAGCAGTGCGCGCCGCCGCGCCCCGCACGGCGCTGCGCACGCCGCGGGCACGGCTCGGTGCCCCCGCGCGCCGGCCACGCACGCTCGCCGGGTGCCTGGCGCATGTGCAGTGAAGTGGCCCGACCCCGGGATTCCTCCCGCAGCACGGGCAGGGGGCGGGGGCGCGTGGCCTCGGAGCTGGAAGCTGGAACCCGACGTGTCCGGCGGGATTCGCGGCTGGGCTTGCTTTCAGTTCAGCCTTCCCTCTGAATATAGCCCGGCAGCTCTGCCCTTGACCACCTGATTTCCAAATCCTCACGATTTACCGCCTCCCCCGATTTAAATCCGTGCGTTAGCAGTATGCTGCAAATACCAGCCAGTGGCTAGAGGAAAGAGAATTCCCTGCAGGTGTTACTGTGTGTGTCACCCGGGGGGGGGGGGTGTGAATGGGATTTTTCACCCTGGCGTGTCTGTTTTGGGAAAAGGCCCTCCCTTCTGGCGCCTGTTCAAACCGCCAAACTTCAGGCCGATCTTTCTGCCCCGCCATTCCCGGATCTTGTTACGCCGGCGCAGCACGTTCTAGGGCTATGTGGGGGCCGGCGGCTCAGCGGAGAGCAGGCAAATAAATAAATAAACGACAAACTGGAGGGATTTTCCTCCTGGGCTCGCCTGCTTAATGAGGGATGCGCGTTTAAGGGCCACGAACTTGCTTCTGCGCTGGGGGTTGGAGTGGGGTGGCGGTGAGAGGCGGCCTCGGGGCCCCCTCGACTCCTTCCAGCCACCCCCGGGGACACTGCGCGGCTTGCTTCTGGGGCCTGGACAGCTGCGCCCGCCGGAGGAAGCCCCCTGCCTCGGTTTCCGGGGCTGGCGGAGTCTTCCTGCTCTGCTGTCCGGCGCCTCGTCCAGGAGGAGGCGCTGTAGGACAAGCGTCTCGCCGGCTGCGCTGCGGCCGCAGATGTCGCCTGCAGGAGCGGGCGGGGGAGGGGAGGACACGTGAGCCGCCCCTCGTGCTCGGGGGCTCCACCCCGCGCGCAGAATACGTGGGGCCTCCCCGGAGGGGGTCCGCAGTCCCGGAAGGGCAGTGGAGGCAGCGCTGAGGCCCGGGCGCCTGGAGGGAGGTGCTAGGGTGGCGGCCACCTCGTTTTCTCCGCCCTCCCGGAGAGGGCGCGATTTCTGTGCGCTGCAATCCTGGGCGCACAACTTCCATGTTGTGGGGGAGGGGGCAGCTGCACCCCAATCCACGGCCCGCGTTCCTCCTGCAGCGAGCCGCTGTGCCTCCCCGCTGCTGCCTTAGAACAGGGCCTGGGTCCTGGGACTCTCTGGAGACTGAGCGCCTGGGGCAAATCCCACGTGCTGAGACCTACCCTGAAGAGCGTGCCTACTGTCACACCACCCACACACCTCTTTGCCTGTCGGCGGCCTTCAGTGGGCTCCGGGCGGGTGTTTCCGGCACCAGCGGAGACGCTGAACTGCAGCCGCTGACCCTGACCCGACCCCGCGGATCTCCCATTGTCTCCTGGCAAGGCATCCCTGGCGGCTTCCTCTCCCTGCTTTAGGGCAGTGGTTCGCAGTGCAGAGCTGCATCCAAATCTTTTTTTGTGATGCAGGTTTGTGGGGCGCACCCCACGCCTGCCGCACCGGAATCAGAAAGGCTATAGGTACAGAGACAGGGCTACTCGGGACCGCATTTTGGAAACATCTCCCTCAGGGCAATTAGGATGCACACTTTTGTCTGAGATTAGCTTCGTCAAGGGACTCGCTCTCTCCTGCTCCAGCTCTGGTTCTTTGTTCCCCAAAGACCAAATCTCCTCTCTTCTTCCTCTACAGCTAGGCATCCCCCAGAGCTCCATCCACCTTTTTTTTTTTTTTTTTTTTCTTAAAAGGTCACTACCTATAGGCTGAATAATTGCTTCCATTTTAGGGACAGAGCATGGATCCTTTACTTTTGGCTCAAAGATTACAAAGAAGGCAAGCCCTGAGTTCAGACTGTCTTTAGTTCAAATTCATACTCTACCACTTACCTGCTGGGGGACCTTTGGCAAGTAGGACAAACTCTGGGCCCGTTTCCTTGTTTCAAAAGCAGGGATAGTAACTACCATCAAAGGTTGTGCAGTACAAAGCACCAGGCACGACACTAGCTCTTAGATACATTAGCTCATGGGGTAAGTACTTTGAACTCCCTGGCACGTTAGAATTCCATGCATATTCCTTATTATCGTTGTGCTGATTTTCTGCTCAACAATCAGGCCTAGGTTTTCAGAACTGAGAGAAATTGGGTTCACCCAGTGCTTGAATTCTGTGGCAGACAAGGCAGAGGATTGGTCAGACAAGTTGTAGCACGCCCAAGGGATCTAGGCCATCACCGTCCTGGCTTCAGAGGCACCTTCATGTGTAAAGGCCAAACCCAGGAGCAAAGTGTCCCCCCCCCCCCGCTCCTCAGTGGGCAGTGCCCCCAGGGGAGGCCTGACACCCACACACGGGCAGGTCTTGCACTCCTGCAGAAGGCTGCAGGTCCCAGTGGCTGCAGGTCCCCCAGCCCAGCCACCTTCGCCAACACCACCCTGACCTCCTACTCAGCTGCTCCTTCCCATTCTTCTGTAGGCACAGGGCAAGAACCCTCTTCAGCCTCTTGACATCTGGGTCCAGAGAGCAGTGGAGGGGGCCAGAGAGCCCCGCCCTGCCCCATACCACCCCTTCTTCTGCTTGTGCCCTCTGATTTGGGCTCCAGGACTGTGGCTGAGCCTAGGCCCCAACTAGGCCCCAGGCGAGCCAAGGTGGCCTTAGAAGGACAGCCTTCAAAATCTCTCTTGACCCAATTCTTTGATAGTCTCTCGTGAAGAACGAGTGTGTCCTACTTCAAGCTGGAAGCTGCACCCGGGAGCACACCCCTGCTCTGACTTCCGTGACTTCTCCCTGGCCTCGCCAAGAGGGCCTCTGCAGCCCTGGGGCAAGCTGCCACTTGTGACTTAACTGGGGGTCTTCGTGGGCCAGCTTTTCTCTCAACTCACACATGCTATCTTTGGCCACTGCCAACAGTGTCAGGCAAAGTTCTGCCCATGGCTTGGGCAGTGGCACCTCAGCTCTCAAGCTACCCCGAGCTGCTGCTATGGGATCTCACTTGGGTTCTCCCTGGAGTCCGGTGGCCTTTTCCAGCCCTGGACCCTGAGTCAGTCACCCTGCCTCAAAGCCCCTACTATTGGCCTTCCCCTCATGGGTCACCTCTTCTTCCCAGAGGTGCCAAGCCAGTGCTCCACAGTAAGGCAGGAGGGAGAGGAGTGTTCCTCCTCCAGTGGTGGCGTACAGGGCCGGGAATAGGGACTCCCATTTCTCTCCTGCTTGGGACTCCTGGCTCTGCCCTCCGCCTGGGTCCTCGAGAACCAGCCTCTCCGTCTCCCATCTTCCCCTCTTTGCCTGGAGTTTGTCCAGAGCCCCATCCCCATCCTTCCCTTGTGGCTGTAGAAACCTCTAGTTTGAGAGGAGAGAGAGCCCGACCTCCAGGCAATGGCCTGTTGGGAGCCACGAGGAGACACTTTCCTGGTGACACACGACAGAGGCCTGGCCCCATCACATTCGGACCAGGGCTGCTGCCTTGGCTGTCTGTCCTGGGAGCTGCCTTAGGTGCAGGGCTGAAGGAGTCCTTCAAGGCACCCTGTCTGGTGGGAGCATGCTAGGCAGGAAGTCCCAGAACTGACCCTTTCCAGCCAAATGGGGGAGAGGCGGGACCGGAAGTTCCGCTTTACCCAGAAACCACTTCCTCACAAGTTTTAAGGAAGGCTCAGTTTCTCCTGCCCCATGTCCACTTCCATTACCACCAGCAGCAGCAGTGTTGAGGCCCCTGAGAAATGGGCCCGTTCTAGCTCAGCTCTGCCCACTGCTGCTCAGCCTCACTCGCTTCCCTATCACCACTCTCTTCCATCGCAGAAGCTCAGGACCTTGGGGGTGGGACAAGAGGGGACTGGAGGAAGGTGGACCCTTACGCTCTCCTTAATCACTTTGCCTGGCTAACCTAATATCACAAAACAGTTGAGGATATCTGCTTCCATGTATTCCTTCTTTCCTCATTTTCTTTACCCCAGCCACTTTGCTGTTGCCTGGGTGTACAGGGAGAAGCAGCTTCATCGTATCCTGCAAGCCACAGTAAAGGCTGCCAGCAAATCCGAGTCACCATCTTTCATCACTGCTCACTCAAAAGCACATCTCCTTAGCCCCAACTACGCTCCAAGTGCTTCCACCTCAGCCTTGCCTTCTTCCCCTACCTCCGGAAAAACCTCATCAGAATTGCAGAGCTATCTTACAGCCTTGGATTAATTTTTGGGAAAAATAAAGTTTAGTTCCTCAAACTTTATTTTTGCAGGTTTTGCTTTTTAAACAAGAAATTAACAGGGATTAACTTCAAAACTGGTCACCTAATTCTGGCAGAATCAGAAGCCATTTTTGGAAGAGTTGGTCTTCACTTATTTTTTAAAATAGGTGCTATGTGCTGTAAGAGAAAAAGATATTCCTAAATAGCTAATAGAATGCGGGGGTGGGGTGGGGTGGGGGACAGACAGAGAGAGAGAGATTCAGAGAAAGAGAAATTCAGAGATTCAAAGAGAGAGAAATGCCTTATTGTGCAGGCTAACAGCCCTCTGCTTTCTAGCCAATGAGAGTCAAATGAGAAAATGGGCTTGCAAATGTGGTAGAGCGTGTGGAAATTCGGATGCTGAGATCTTTGTGAGGAGGGCTGGCTGGGACTTCTGAGGGGATCTGTTGCAACTGAATCGGGTTTAGAAGTTGTGTGCATGTGTGCACCCTGCAGATCACACAGATCGGCAGAATCTGCTGGGGAAATCACTTTCACCAGAATAGGCAAAGTCACACATTTTCTCACTGTTGGGTTGCCACAGTGGCAGGCCATGGGAGGGGTCAGTTCTCCCTTTACTTCTACCCCTCGGTGGGAGCTGGGGGCCTCCTTCCCACTCCCATCCCCCCACCTGTCTCCCTCACCTCTGCCAAGCAGACAGTGCCTCGCTCCCCTGTGGAGCAGCTCAGAGCCCAGCCCCTCAGCTTGGCCGGGCCGGCTGGCCGTCACTGCAGGACGGCGCACTCCGGGGCTCTCCCTCCAGTGGGGCAGCAGTGCCTGGGGAGCCCCTCTGAAGACCCTCGCCCACCTTTGGGCCCTTGGGGCCCTGGGAGCTTGGGGGCAGTGTGGGAATGACTTCCGGGACTTTCGGTCCCTCGAGAGCCTCATTTGCTTCCTCACACCCCGTCCTCTTCACACCAGGGCTCTTTTATTGTTTTATAACCTCCTTCAGAGCTTTGGTTGCCAAAGATTCCGATGGAGCTGTTCTCCCTGTCTCACTTTAGCAAACCCCAAGTCTTGCTATTTTAAGCAGTTTGGTCACTTGCAAAGGCTTCCCTTTCAGATCTAAGCAAATTATAGAAACCTCTAGGCATATGGCTACCCTCAGCTCCCGGCTTTCACCAAGCCCGTCCACGACAATACGGAGGAAGCCAAGTGTTAATTCCAGATGCCACCCCCACCCCCACCCCCAAGCCCACCCAGCCGCTCCCTAACCACTACTTCTCTACTGAAACTTGAACAAAATCGCAAATAACCTCCAACTTCTGATCTAAGTCAGTGAGAGGCAGCCTTTGGCCTCTTTACCACATCTAAAGCTAGCAAAGGATTGAAATAAAGAGCCATGGTACTCACAGCGCATGAAGCCAAAGAATCATAAGCCATGCCCACCAACCAGCCTTTTCCAAATAGTACTATCTCCCAGTGTAAATAGCCTTCGCTGGAAAGATGCTATTTGAAAAGCCTGGGGTGTTGATATGAATCTGACCGCCCTTGCATCCTGGATATTTGGGACTATTTAAATCTGAGTGAACAGTTGCAGTGAGCCTTTATTTAGTGAATAAAAGTTTAAAGCCAAAGGTTATTTATGGTTCTGTAGAGATGGGACCTGAGTGGCTATTTACGAGCACGTGATTCCAATAAACTTTGTTTTATGGCTTGAGAGTTGACAAGCCAAAATATAATTCCCACCATAAATTAGGTTAAGAGCATACAAGTGCAGATGCTTGCTTCCTGGAGCAGCGATAGGAAAGTGAGAGGCTCCAGCCAGCGCAGGGCTCAGAAGGAGACAGTTCTACTCGCAGCTCCCCTGCCCACTGGCAAAGAGAGACAGTAAGTCACTTACTACTTCTCCACGATGGCTCCAGAGGTGGGCGGGTTTGCTGCCCTGACTTTTCTGCCCAGGAGAGTCCTGTGGAAGTTCGTTCTAATTTTAGCCTGAATCTAAATTAACAAGTAGCAGGGGCATCCCACTTTTCTTCTCCTCCCTCCTGGACAGGAAAGTTCGGAGCTGAGGGCTCCCGCCTCCCACGCGGAACTTACTGGCCCTTTCTTCCCCACACTGGAGCATTTGCTGCAGAAGTGGGACAAAACTTTGGTGGTGGGCTCTGTGGGGGGAGAGGGGCTTTGCCCTCTGAGCTTCCTCCAAGAGGACTGCTGCCCTAGCACAAAACTGAGACAAATGGAAAACTTACAGCTGGACACCAGCCCCTGGCAGGACCACTGCTTTGTACGCGTTTTGCCGGCTCTCTCAGCAGCGATGCTGAAAAATTGATGCCACGTCCGTAGAGCTGGATAACAATCTAAAGCATTGCCATTACCTCTGCACCCATTGATTTTCCTCCTGCCTGGTTATCATTTGGGTCCTCATTGCCCCCTGGAAATTGCCCTTTGTTTTGAGTTGGAACAGAACTGGGGAGGTAAGTCCCAGTCTTGGCTGATCTTTCTTTGGGGACAAAAAGGCAGGTGTGGGGGTTCACCGTTTGAGGCTGGAGAATATGAAAACAAACTGGAACTGGAAAGGAGGTGGGGGTTGAATTGCTCCCAGGGCGGCAGAGTAGGGGACCTAGGGTGGAGGACAGATGGGGAGGCCACCTCTTCCCAGCAGAGTTGCACCCACCCGGCTGATGGCGATGGCGCAGGAGGAAACAAAGGCCCATTTTCTCCCCGCTGCCCGTTTTTCCACTGGGGAAACTCTGCCACAGGCAGCAGGAGTCAGGCCAAACAAGCAGTAAGGTTTTGCCCTCCGGAGCGTGGAGTGGGAGCCACCTCTTTCCTACCCTGTGTCTCTGCTCGCGAGTAATGCGGGCTCGGGCTCCGGGGGGCACTTCCGCGAAGTTCCCAGGGGCGGGCACCCGAAGCAGGGAAGGCTGAGTGTCAGACGAGTGGCTGGGCCTTGCCATTTCCCTGTTATCTGTTTCTGCTGTATTATCCCGTGGAATTTAAGTGACCCCTGTTTTCATTGCAACAGGTTCGGGACGGTGAGAGAGCGCCTCGGTGAGTACCTTCCCGCGTCTTCCGAATCGCGAAGAGGCGGTACTGACCCTGGGGAGGGAGTGGGCAACGCGCCAGGCCCGGCCAGCGAAGACAGCTCTTTTTGGGAGGCGGCTGCGGTGGGGCTGGGGGGAGTTCTAAATTGAGCTCCTGGAAAGCGTTCCTGGGGCCTAGTCACAGTCACCTGTCTCAGGGACAGCACCGCGGGCCCCACCCCCTCCGCAGCCCTTTGCGGACCCTCCAGGGCCTCTGGAGCTCGCACAGGTGCACCTCCGCGCGAGTGCTCGCCTCCGTTAAGAGCTTGCAGCTAATTAGCAACCGCTCTATTAACGAGTTCCGACTGGCATCGCCTCCCGCAGTAAATACCAAAGCAGCGCGATCCCCCTCTGCACCCCAACGCAGATCAACCAGGTCCAGCCTGGCCCAACCTTCTAATGCTTAAAAAAAAAGGTTTCTAATATTTAAAACAAACAAACAAAACAAACAACCCTCTTTGGCCACGAATGTGCAGAGTTGGCCGCTTCTAGAAAAGGCTGCAAATTCTGAGATTAAGCCAACTCCCATCCCTCTCCTACCCCTCCTCCACCCCAGCTCCAGCGGTGTGGGTCCCGAGTCTGGGACACGGGCTGAGCCAGTAGGGACGTGGCCCTTCTCCTTCACCTCTGCTGCTCTCTAACTACAGCTCAACAATTTCCCGCCAGAGAGGCTGGTGCTGCCAGGAAACAGCCGGATTGGGTGGGGTGCGGTGGGGTGGAGCCAGAAACTGGGAGTCCTTGGCTGAGAAAGACTGGTACAGCTCTTAGGGGGTCTGTGTGGTGGTGGTGGTCCAAGATTTGTGTGTGTGTGTGTGCAGGGGGAACAGCCCCTCCCTTACTACAAAACAGAGGTGATTTTATTTTAATGGGCAATAGCACATTCCAGGGCTGCAGGAAGCCCGCGTCCTCTCTGAGACACCCTGTCTTCATGGTTGGAGAAGCTGGGCTGGGTAGCCTAGTCAATGCCCTAGGAGCTGTGCTCACCCAGATGTGAGATCCCACAAGCACACAATTCCCAGGAAGCACCGGCTGGTTCAAGTGAAAGGCGTTCTGGGCTCCTGACTGAAAATTCTGATGTCCCCAAGATTCCTGGTCTTGCCCTCTCCTCCAGTGCCCTGGCTCTAGGTGCTTCTGTCTGCCGAGGCTGCTCTCTTCCAAACCCACGTTTGGCTCCCTGCAGCTGAACGCAGCACAAAAAGCCCGAGAGATCAAAAGCATTAGTATGGGCGGTTGAGAGGGAGGTGAATATTTAACGCTTTTGTTCATCAATAACTCGTTGGCTTTGACCTGTCTGAACAAGTGGAGCAATAAGGTGAAATGCAGGTCACAGCGTCTAACAAATATGAAAATGTGTACAATCGTCCTGCTCCCCACCCACCCCAGCAGGTTCCCCCAATTTGTCTGGATAAAGCCTAGGCCCAGTGTCCCCAGGAAGGCGGCTACGTGAAAGTGCTTGGCATTGGGGGGGACTGGGGAGACTCCTGAGACACAAACAGATTCCACAGGCTTGGAGCCTTGGAAAGACTTGGCACCCTGGTAAACGCCTAGGAAATAGTTAAAATGGTGGAACTGAAGCCCTGGGTGGATGGGTGGAGGGGCAAACAGAGTGCAGAGTAGAAGCCAGCAACTGGTTTTGGCTGGGGTGGGGGTGGGATTCCCCCTACCCAACCCCACCAGGTCCAGGCCAAGGCTTAAAACTTTTTTTTTTTTTTTTACTGGGCGGGGGAATCAAAACAATGAAAAAGAATTTAAGACACCTTTGGACTGGTGCCAGGCATCCCCTCTGCCCCTGAAATCTGCCCGGCCCCTGAGTTCGGCTCAGCTCCCAGTGCCCTGAACTGAGAGGCGATCCCTGGGCAGCATGGAGGCGCTGGGGCGGGCGCAATTGGTGAACTTTTGTACTCTTGTGTGCTGCTGTCCACAAAGCGAAAATAATGAAACTTTGTGATATGTTTGTAAATGATTTCGAATGACCCTTCGCCCTGCCCTTCACCGTCAGCCCGCCTGGCCTCAGCCCTGGGCAGCTCAGTGCCTGCGAGCAGCGCCTGCCTCGGGGTCTGAAGCCGCAGCATGGACGGAGAGGCCAGCCGGCTCGGGGCCCAGGAAGGTAAATGTGCGACTACTGAAGAACGAGCTTTGGTCGCCAACCTGGCTTGGCCAGGCAGTGGGAGAAAGGATTGGGCAGAGCAGAGTCGCCTTTTCGCCTGTTTTTCTTCTGCTGGCTGAGGGCATTTGCTCCTTTCTGGAAAATACCACTTGATGGGGGGGGGGTGTATTTGGATCCCGAGAAGGGGGTAATAAAGCCTCCATCTCTGGGATGGCTTATTTTCTTCTTCTTTTCTTTCTTAAGAAGAATGTCCTGGTTGCTCTGCTGCTTGGTAACCCCAGCCCTGGCAAAAGAATGAGGGAACTCGTTGCAGCAAATCGTCACCAAGCCCGCCAGTCTACCTGAACTGTCTCTGGATCCGCGGGTGGCTGCGGCGGCTCGGTGATGGCTCAGAGGAAAAGGCTGGGGCTGGCAGCCGTCTGGGTATCTGTTCTGGGTGGGACCCAGAGTTTGTGACGTTGTCTATATATACCCTGTAGAACCGAATTTGTGTGGTATCTACATAGTCACAGATTCGATTCTAGGGGAATATATGGTCGATGCAAAAACTTCACGTTTCTCCGAAATAGCCAAAGACGGAGGTGGGGACCAGAGGCAGCGGGTGCGGCTCAGCTGCCCCTTTCTGTTTGATTACCTTGGACTCCAGCAGGATCCCCTGTGCCTGCTCACGGCAGAGCAGCCTTTTCCTCTAGGAGCGCCTCACCTTTAAACAATCTTCCATGGAGGCTGCAAAAAGAAACCCCAATTGGTTGAGCGAATGCGCAGGGCCAAAGGGCTGGGTGGTGGGGTGCCCGGGAGTAAGGGAAGCCAGCCAACTCCCGCTCCAGCTCTGCCCTCCGTGGGGCACAGAGTGCAAAGGTAACCCACGCGGAGCCCGGTGCCATTGAGAAGCCGCCTGTGGGAGGAAGGCCGGCAGGAACATTTGGGGTGCATCTGGGTGAAGGGAGGGTGCCCTCAGCGGCTTCCCGACCCACCCCTCAACTGCATGGGCCCCATGCCATTCCTGTCGGCGTGGCTCAGCTCTGATAGGAACACTGGTGCCTGGGCGCGGGCAGAAAGCGTGGTGGTTACTCATTGCCTAATCTGATTCAGGCTGGCCAGATTCTGGTAACTTTTGGGTGACCCTGATGAAGACAAAGCCGGGAGCTGGCCTTTGTATGACAGGATCCCGGCTCCCACGGGATGGGCGGGAGCCCTGCCTGCCTGGGGCACTCTGCCCAACTCCGGGGCCACCGTGCCCGTCCACCTTTCGTTGCCTGGCACCCCAAGAGGAGGACTGATTTCCCCTGTGAACTGTGCCCACTTTCTGGGGGTGCTGCTTTCCGGGCGGGGGTGAGTGGAGAGGGCACCGGGGTTAGCAAAGTCAGGGGCAGACAAAAGCTGGGATTTCTTGAGGGGAGTGCGGGTGCAGGATTGGAACTAGGCTAACATGTGATCGGGCCCTCGGATGTGCCAGGGCGAGTCAGTTGATTACACGTATGTTATTTAGTTAAATTTGTGAAAATTATGAGATGCTCACCAACCCGGTGATAAACTCGCTTCCTCCCCATTGGCTGACCTGGTCACATGGCCGCCCAACTTTATTCAGTTGACAGCAAGTAGGAGGGCCCTATGGAAGGAGAAAAAAAGACAACACGAGAAAAATTAGTATTTTCTACCTTCTGAAATTAATGGCCATGAGTTCGTATATGGTGAACTCCAAGTATGTGGACCCCAAGTTCCCTCCGTGCGAGGAATATTTGCAGGGCGGCTACCTAGGCGAGCAGGGCGCAGATTATTACGGCGGCGCCGCGCCGGGCGCAGACTTCCAGCCCCCGGGGCTCTACTCGCGACCCGACTTCGGTGAGCAGCCCTTCGGAAGCGGCGGCCCGGGGCCCGGCTCGGCGCTGCCCGTGCGGGGTCACGGGCAAGAGCCCGGGGGCCCTGGCGGTCACTACGGCGCCCCGGGAGAGCCGTGCCCTGCGCCCCCGCCCGCGCCCCTGCCTGGCGCCCGGGCCTGCAGCCAGCCGGGCGGCCCCAAGCAGCCGCCCCCCGGGACGGCACTCAAGCAGCCGGCCGTGGTGTACCCCTGGATGAAGAAGGTGCACGTGAATTCGGGTAAGGTGCGGGGCCGGCGCCTCCTCCCTGCCCACCCCAGCCTGCGGGCCCAGGCCCCTGGGAGGGGGGTGCGAGTGGGTGGGAGCTCGAGGAGCTTCTTTGGGCGCCGCAATTACTCTCCCCATAAATTTTTATAGCTGAGGGAGCAGGCCGGGACCATGTGGCTGGTTGCTTGGCTGTGGGCGCCGAGGGGGTGGGGAGGGGTGGGGTGGGGGAGGACTCCATTTTCAGAGCGCAGGGAGCGCGGCAGAGGAGAGGGAGGTCTTGGAAATGCTTCGGGGTTCCGGGGCCCTGGGGGGCGAGGGGCGGGGAGAAGGGAGCGCCTTTGGGGGCCCTGTGCGGAGAGCCGAGAGCAGGGGGTGGGTGCAAGGAGGTGGGTGGGGGTGAGTGTGTAGTGTGTGCACGGGGAGAGGGCGGGCGGGAGGAAGCGAGCGAGCGAGCTGGGGAGTGCTCGGGGAGGGCCGTGGGCCTCGGGGCGCGCCGGGGAGTGAGCGGAGGAGGCGAGGCGCAGGGCCTACCGAGGGGCCGGGCGCTGACCTGCCTCTCCTGTTTTGTCTCGCAGTGAACCCCAACTACACCGGCGGGGAGCCCAAGCGTTCCCGAACGGCCTACACCCGCCAGCAAGTCCTAGAACTGGAAAAGGAATTTCATTTTAACAGGTATCTGACCCGGCGCCGGCGGATTGAGATCGCGCACACCCTGTGTCTGTCCGAGCGCCAGATCAAGATCTGGTTCCAGAATCGGAGGATGAAGTGGAAAAAAGATCACAAGCTGCCCAACACCAAAGGCAGATCTTCGTCCTCCTCGTCCTCCTCCTCCTCCTCCTCCTGCTCCTCCTCAGCCACCCCCGGCCAGCATTTGCAGCCGATGGCCAAGGACCACCACACGGACCTGACGACCTTATAGAAGCGGGGACCCTGGGCCCGTCCCTCCCTGCACGCCCGGCTGAGCCGAGGCTGCAGGGGCAGGCTGGGCCTGCTGTCACCTCGCTGGGCTCTAAGGTACTGTGGGGGTGGGCCCGGGACCCAGGTTAGCACCCTGCCTGAGGGCAGCCCCCTCCCTAGAGCGGGGTGGGCTGGGAGGGGGGCGGGATTCTCTCTCGGAGGAAGGCGTCACGGAGGCAGGAGCTCCTGAGAAAGTAAAATCTCCTGAAAATCTCCGCTGTTGGATTGTGAATTTACCAGGGAAGGTTGGATGCTTTATCCCAGTGTGAGGTGGGACGCTCTCCAGCACCCCACCCCTCCAGGGAACTCTGTGGCATAGAGGTGTGGGGTGGCTGAGGCCCAGGGTTGGCCACTCTGTGCTAGGTGCTTCTCAGTACAAGAGTGCCAGAGCTGGGCCAGGATTTCTGAACTTTCTGGGCTGTCTAGGTGATTTCCAGTGTGATTTCAAAAAACAAACACACAGAAAAGTGTTGCTCCCAGCGGTCCCATGCCCCATGAGATGTCTAAGAAGGGAATGGAAACGGGTGGTTTTGTGTTTAGATTATATTTGTCGAAGTATTTATTTGTTGGGGAATGGAGTACAGAAATAATTAACACCTTCATGCCAAAAATCTTAAACTAGTGACAGGGGTTGAGCTTCAGGGAGCAAAATCAGAGATAACGTGGACTTAGTTTTGGCAGGAAACGCATTTTGAACTCCACCCCGATCCGGTCCCTGGGAGTGTGTGTAGGGGGGCTCTTGACCCTTCCAGAGGGAGGCAGAGGATCCATTCAAAGCTGAGTTCTTGAAAATATATTTCCACATGTGCTTCCCACCATCCACCCCCCAGCACTGAGCTTACAACCAGCTCTGGGTGATTAAAGGAGAGGGGGAAAAGGAACCAAATGGTCCAACATTTTCCTTCTGGGGAAAGAAAACAAAACCTCTGTGCTCTGGGGGTGGCTAGATAATGACTGAGTTTCTGTTCCAACTGGATTCCAAATGTTCCAAATATACCCCCCACCCCAGAACAGTATTTTGTAGGGATTGGGATAGGGCCTGTAGTGGGGAGGGGCCATGCAATGGGGAGAATGTGGAAGGTGAGAATGCTTTGTTTTTTAAGAGGAAACAAAAAAGCAAAACTCACTGAATCTAGAAGTCCACAGTAATTGGTGTTAGGTTTGTTTTTTCCTCTGAAGATCTGATTAAAAAAAAAATCTAGGGTTTTTTTTCTTATTCCATGAACTAGAAGCAGAGATTATAAAGGTGGAAAGGTTTTTAGGCCCTCTTCTTTGCCTTGAAAATGCTGATTTCAAAACAATTACCCTCAAACAACTGGAGAGATGTTCTTTAGTCATTTTTCTTATGCCTTCCCTGGAAAGAGTTCAAAGCTCATTTTCTAAAGGATAAGGAGTAAGGTGTCAGAGGTAATGACCAGAGTTCATACTCTCAGATGAAACAAGTCTTCAAAAGTTTAGACTCTAAAGCCTCGGGCTCAAAGAAAAAAAAGAAAGAAACCCCTAGTTGTAGCTACCCAAAAGTGACAAAAGGGGGCAGGGAGAATGAGTCAGCTTAAGACTTAACTCTGAGATCCAGAATGGTGTTGTTTTTGGGGTTTTTTTCTGGCGCGTAAGAGTACTTTAGAAGTATTCAGTGATGATTTTGAAAATATATTTGAGTGGAAGGAGGAAAAGTCTTTCTCTGCAAGCGTGTTCTTTGGTTCTGTCTCCTGAGAGCCGAGGGCAGGTATTCACTGGCGTCCCTAGGCTGAAATTCCAATTCTCTAAAGTATCTTCCAAGCCTTGGTCTTTTGTAATAGACCCTGGGGACAGCTCTTTGTTCCTCCTTGGGGTGAGCCTGGCTCTCAGACTTGCACATGGCAATACTTGAATATCGCCACGTCGGGATATTAAAGATGGATATTCCTGCATTATTCGCATCATTGTTTGTATGACAAAAAGCACAGAGTTCATACATAGTCAAGATGTCTTTTTTCTGACGCTCTCACGTTGAGAAGCTGAAAAGGTATTTTACTGAAGTTCGGCTAAATTACAGAATCAGGTTCATCCAGAGGACAAATTTTCTATTCGATTAGCTGTATTTCAGCCGGGAGGACTGACCTCTAAACCCTTAACCTTTTGGACTCTAGCTACCCTTCTCTTCTTTCCCCCCCTCTAACATGGAGAGTGATCTTTGGATGTGGCATTTGAAAAGAGCTGCTATCCTTAGGCAAGTCAGAAAGTTGCTAAGATTCTTTCCTAAAATCTCAATCTGTGCATACACGGAACCTGCTCCATAGGAGGGGGACGTGTATGTTTTCACAGCAACCAACTCTGTGTGTGTGTGTGTGTGTGTATGTGTATGTGTGTGTGTGTATGAGAGGTTATTATGTAGGTTGCCCCCTCCCCAGAAGTTCAGGTTATTCACCCAGCTTCAGACCAAATACCACAATGCTTAACCGCCTTCAGCCCCACCCCGGAGGAGAGCCAAGAGGCACATTTCCATGAAGAAAACCCAAGCTCCTTCTCAAACAGGGCCCTACCAATGTAGAAAGTAACTTCATCAGAGAAAAAAGTCTTTGTTGTTTGTAAGTCTCAAATCTCCTGAGCTTCAAGGTATTGTGTTTTGAAATGTTACTGGAGGCTGTATGGTCCAGAGGGCAGCCCCAACCCTGAAGTCCCACTCAGACCTCAGCATCCATTTGGACTGGTGGGAGTGGGCCAGGGAGGGGGCAGGGGCCCCCAACCACCTAGAGCAGGAAAGGAGATGGGTTCCAGCTGGGAACGTACTCTGGAGAAACCTAGGCGTGGGGAGGCTCCAGAGTCCAGTTGCTATTATTTATTTCCAGTCTGTTCCCCCAAATATGAGCCAGAGTGTTTGTTTGGGTGTTTAAAAAAACAAATCCTGTGTTGGGGTGGTGGCTGGGGGGAGAGGGGGAGGAGTAAAGTGTTTGTTGAGGACGCTACTCCTCGGGCCCCCTCTCACTGTGTCCATTACAGCCTTTTGTTGTGAGACGACATTGTCAGTGAGCCCATGGAATCTGTTCACATGAGATGCTTTTTTAATAGAATTGACCAATGTTTTGCTGCCACTGATTAAAGTATTATTTATACTAATTGTTGCCTGTAGTTTTGATGTAATTCATTGATCTATATTTGAAATAATAAAAAGTGTAGCAAAGTCTCCCTCCTGTTTGGTGCCTTGACAGAAGCCTTCTTTGTGAAAGCTGACATTCAGTATAAATCAGTTATTTGATCATTTTCTGCAGGAAGTTAGGCACCAGTTTGTTTGGTGCCTGAACTCTGAAGGTTAAACAGTGAAAGACTTAGCAATTATATTTTTACCCCACCCCCACCCCCAGTAGACACAAGCTCCCAATTTGGCCACCATGTTTTCTGAGCTTTGGGAAAGCTGGGGTTGTGTTCAGGCTGTAGCGTGGTGGGCAGGATCTGTTGAAAGGAAAAAGAAGTCAAGGCCTGGGCTCATAGGGGCTTCCAGGATGGTGCTCTGCTTGACCAGGGCCAGCCCCAGACCCCTTCGGCCTCTCAGCCCTCGGAGGGGTCTTTCTGATGGCCTGGGTGAGTGAACTTTCCACCCCTGCTCCCAAAAGCTGGGAAGAGAGCTGGGTTCTGGGCAGAGTGGAGCAGAGGCTGGCTGGTGGCTGCTCTGACCTGACCCCACCCGCCTCCCATCTTGGGCTCCTTCTACTCTTCTGGTGCTGCCCAGCCCCACTGAGGCCTCTGTGTACCTGCCCCTCCTTCCCTCCAGCCCCTCCGCCCTCTGACAACAATAAACACTCCCCACTATAAAAAGTACCAGGCATGATTTTTAATCTAGAGAGCTTTTTCACATCTTGGCCTAGCCTGGAAGAGAGGGCCAAGACAGGAGTCCCAAAATAGATGGGGGGCGGGGGGCTTGCTGGAGACAGGAAATGAGCAGAATGCATAAAATCAGACATGTGTCCTTAATATATGGAAGGGCTCGCCCCAGACGCGTGGACATGTGTATTTATAAGTGCGCAGACAGAAGTTTAAATATTCAGACACATTTTATGATTGTCCTCTGCCCGTCTTCTGGTTAATGGCTCCTCCCGTGCCCACCAATAATACATCAATACCGTGGTGTGTACTGAGTCGCGGGCAGGGGCGAGGAGCAGGCGAGTGCACGGCCGCCGAGGCCGCCGAGTGCAGCGCAGCCAGCCGGGACCCTCGGCGGACGGCGCCTCCCGCCCGCCCGCGCGCCATGTTGGGGAGCCCTCCCAGCCCCCCGCGCCGGGCTGGGCGGCCAGGGCTCGCCGGCAGCCGGGGGAGGGCCTTTCATAACCCGGAGAATTTTCAAAGTGCGAGGAAGATGATAAGAATAGATTTCTACAAGTCCCGACCACGTGATTGGCGAAATAATTAATTCAGCACGTCCCTTAAGAAACACGGAGTCGTCATTAATCTGCCACGCAAAGGGCTCTCTCCGACTTGGAAAGTGCAGGGATCCCAAGAATATCGCCCGCCGAGGGGGGCCGCGCGGCGCCCCCGGCCCTCCACCCCCGGGCCCCGGCGGCGGGCAAGGGCGCGCGGCCGGCAGGTAAATATTTTGGCGACTTTTATTTCATCAGATTTAAATCCTTAATGAACTTAGCTGTCAGGACCGCTGACAAATAGTTCCCTTTGCTTCCTGATTTGGAACCGCGCGCCGGCGAGAAGTTGTTAGTGGCTTGGATGGTGACCTTTGGTTCAGCAAAGCTTTGCACTTATGAAAAATTACCGCGAGCGGCCGAGTGTGTGCGGGCGAGGGAGGGAGGGGGCGAGGGAGGGGTGTGCGGACGCCGGGGTGCGAGGGTGCGAGGGGTGAGGGGCGAGGGTGCGCGCAGGCGGCCCCGACACTGCGGGCGCTGTGGACACCCGCGCGGCCGGGGGACGCGCCTGGCGCGCGCGGGCCGGGGTTGCCCGGTCGCTTGTGTCTGCCGGGAACAATGGTCGCTGTCACGGCATCTGCCGCCTATTCTTAAACCGGCGAGAAAAGGCCCCGGCCCTCTTTTCAAGCGAGGGTCGTAAATTTTTCTTTGCGTCATAATAGAAGGCTATAAAATCGGGTTGAAATTTTACCCCAGGCAGGTTTTAACCAACAGATAATGATTTCCGAGTTCCTTCTCCCACTCTCCTCCCTCCCGACCCCAGCTCTGCGGCTCCTCTCACCCCAGGCAGTAGTTTAGCCTCCTCAGCCCTTGATAAGTTTGTAATGTATTGTATTTTTTATTTTTATTTTTTGCATGTCCTAAAATAAAACCAAGGTGGGGGGTGGGTGGGAGACGTCCCAGCCGCCGGAGCGGGAAACCTCCGGGCTAGGAGGCGCCTCACGTTGCGGGGAAGGGGTCTGGCGGAGAGGCCGGAGCGAGCTTCTTTCCCTTCCCGGCCTTTCTCTCACCCGCACTCCAAGAAAACCGGCGTCCGCCGCCGCCGCAGCACAGCCCCGTTTCGCCGGGGCAGCGGCGGGCGTCTACGTCCTCGGGGCCGCCCCGCACGCCCCCCGGAGAGGCTGTCTCCATCGGCTTCCTTCCCTGCGGTCCCTGCGAGATGCGCTCCTCGCCTTCGGATGATGTCGGCGAGCGGGGCTGGCTGCGTGCCCTGGTTGTTTTGGGCTTGTGTATGTGCTCATTTCTTTTCTTTTTTTCTTTTGGTGTATGTATGTTTCCCCGTCAGGACAGAAACAAAGTTTCCTCCGTTATGAATTATACATTCAAACAATAACACATTAATTCAATTATTCAAAGATGACAAATGTTTATGTGCTTAGCGAGTGACTCGGGCGCAGATTCCGGGCGCTTTCTCTTGCTGCTTGCATTTTTCTCAATGAGAATCATCTCCCCTCCCACCCCCACCCACTTCAACCCACCCAGACGTGCCCTGGTAGGCCCCGGAGAGGAACCCACAAAAAGCTCCCCCAGCCCCACTGGCAGCCCGGCAGCCACCAGCCTCCAAGGTCCCGGCTTGGCGGGCACCGGCCCGGGCTATTTTATCAGTGTGACAATTGCCCGAGTTGGTGTGATAAATCATCGTAAGTAATTCCTGAAAGGGTGCGAGGCTGTTGGGGGCCGGGCGAGGACTGTAAATCTTTGCGGTTTATTGCTCTATGAACATATGCTCCGATTGAAGAAGGCTTAGATCCTTTCCTGGAGACAAATTCTCGCAAAGCAGTACCCCCTCTTTGGCTGGGGATTAACACTTGCTGCGGGCCGCGGGCTCGGCCCCCCGGCGTGAGGCTAGGGGGCGGGGTCGTTCGGGTGTGGGGTGGGCCGGGGGTAGCACCCAAGGTCTGGTTGGGAGAGGCACCCCAGAGTGGGATCCTGGTGAGGGCCGAACAGGTGAACACAAGGAGGGGCTCGCCGACAGGTCTGGGGGCTCAGGCCTGCGACCTGTCCTCCGGGCCCTTCCCGCGCCTCTGGGGTGGGGGCGCTAAGACTTTGCCCCCTCTCTGGTGCTCCTCTGTGGCTACGGGGCGCTCTCGCCCTTCTAAGACCCTGCAAGCAGCGACAGGGCTTGAGCTCTTTGCCAGATGCCGCTGGGAAGCAGAGTCGGCAATAAAAGCCGACTTAAGGGATGGGGTGAAGAGCTCCCAGCTGTGCCGGATTCCGGGGTGCGGGCCGGGCTGGGGGTAGACTGCTGGAAGAGCCGTAGGAGCTCGCGACGAGCCAGGAGCAGAATAGCCCCTTGTCCCCGGGGCGCGCTTAACTCCTCCCGTGAAGAATTGGTGCCATAATTTCCTGATCTAATATTTCTAAAATAGAAGTTTCCTATCCCCAGGTAAGCCTAGCCAGCACTGATTCCGTAGCCCCCTTGGCCTTCCTGGAGGCGCCGCAAGAAGCGGGAAGCCTCAGCCCAGCAGTCTCTGGCCCGCGGATTCCGCGGCGATGTTCAGATTTGGAGCCGCACAGGTCACAGCGGGCCGCGCCTTGGCGCCTAGGCGGCCCTGGGCCTCCGAGGACCCGGGTAGGGGTGCCCAGGGTGTAGAGAAGCCAGGGCGCCCCGGGTCCTGGCCGGCTGCTGGGTGCCTCCTCGGGATCGGAAGCGGCGGCGTGGCTGCGGGAGTCTGTGGAAAGAGCCAAGGCGCCCAGGGAGTGGGCTGGTGGCGGTGGGGTGACCATCTAGGACAGAGAGCCCACAGCAGACAGCGGGGATCTGTGCAGTGCCGCTGCCTCACCCGGATGAGAGCGGCGCCTCCGGTGAGGCGGCGTGAAGCGCTTCTGGTATGGGGTTGGGGAGGATGCGGAGCAGCGGGCGCGGCCAGCAGCCGGGGGACCCTGGGCCTCTGCCGCTCCACAGCCCTCTTCAGAGACGTCTCTAAGAGAGCCAGCTTCCAAATTTTCCAGTCACCCCGACCAGTCTGGCAGAAGGCTGGGCCTGGGTCAGAGGTCTTCGTGGGGAGAGATTCTCAAACCCCCATCCCACTGGGGAAGACCAGGCTGGGTCTGGGTTTGTCCTAAGCTAGGAGTTGGGGGCTTTCCTTCAGCCCCACACCCACCCGCGCCCGCCCCAGGGAAAGGGCCCGGATCCCGCGCCTCTTGCTCCCCTCCTCCCAGCCCCCAGGCCTGGCTGCGCTCCGGGGCTGGATGGCGTGAAAGTTTCAGCCTCAATCAGTACAATCTTCCCTCGGGGTCACGTGAACAAATATGCTCGCATTTGAAGGCAGCCTCTGAATTTCCCGACTACGAGGGGGTTTCCGGGGCTCTCTCCAAATCCAGAAAGGACCAAGTTCCGAAAGCAAAACAAATCCCGAGCTCTGGGGGGCCTGGGAGGGCTGGGCAGGAACCCAGGAGTAGGTGGGGGCGCGGGTGGCCGTCGCTCTGGGCCTGGGAGCGGACCGGCGGGCGGGCGGGCGGACCGACCCGCGCACAGAGCGGGAGAAGCCAGCTCGGGGACTACGAACTCGTTCCTCCTGCGTTTATTGGTAGTTGAACCTCAGCCTGGTTCCGTTCTACCGGGAATTCCGTGTGCTCCGGTATATGGCCGCGCCTGCGAGCGCGCAAGACCAGGGTTGGGACAGTGTTGTCTGCAGACAAAGGGGGAAAGCTAGCTCTGCCCCCCACTGGCGCCCACTCTGAGGCCGAGGACACCAGGTTTATGAT